GATCGCTTCCTGGACATTGTGATCAAGTGCCTTCTCGAGAAAACAGCTACTTGATTCGATTTGGTTAAATGGGTAAGCCATTGGAATTACACGCGCGCGGCCGTGGTTCGACTCCGCCTAGCGACCCAACTTTTGCTGCATCGCCGGGCAATCTTTGATAGCGGCCACTATCCAATCGATGATGACCGCTGTCAAGGATTTCGCCTAGCAAACGCAAAGATAAAATAAAAAAACATTTCGTTACGAAAATTTTGCGACAAAACGAAATGGTTGCAAAGTGAATTCAATGATATGAACCAATGAGTCCTCGTTTTGGACAGCTTCAAAGAAAACCAGTAAAGTTTACAAAAAGAGAAGAATTTGTTTTTTTCTGTCTTCCTCGCCAAAATCAGCTGTTCACCGATCCTCTCCTTTTCGGGCGCGGTTGTGCAATTTTGCGCCGATTTTGTCCGCAGTGTTAGGCAAATTGCTGTGTATCGTAAGTTACTCAGGAGCAACTTACGAAGATTTTCTCTGCGTTTCCTCTTTAGCACACTATTTCTGGACATCATCGCTCATATCATCTCCCATGACCCGGCAGGGAGATCATCTCCCTGCCGAACTTCACCTGAGGCTCACCTCTCAGGTGACGTTGCATCCCTTTAGCATGGGGAAATGGGCGGTCGTCATTTTACTGACAGAACCTCACATGAAGGTTTCAGGGGAGATAATCTCCCATGACCGAGCTTTACTACGGGCCATAGCCTTTGATGGTCCGCTCAAGGCCTGTAATTGCTTCGGAATTGTTTAGAAATTCATTATCACTCCACGTGTAACAATAGGGAAGAAAGGGGTGCAGAAGAAAAGGGCAGTAAGCGAACAAAAGTCACTTTTTTCACAATTTTTCACAATGATCAACACTCATGAAACTAAGAACTTTTTACCTGAGGAGAATTTCTTCTACTTAGAGACAGCATTTGGGCAGCATTTCGCTTACCTGAGCCTATCCGCTACGCTAAATCCAAAAATTTATCTCTGAAAGCGCAAAAACAACGGAAAAAGGCTAGTCTTGAAGCTTCTTTTTCATTTGGAGGCGAGATAGTTCCGAGGCTGAGACACTGAGTACCTGTCGGCCCTACGATCTTAATTGGGCGACATGCGCACTCTGTCGAAGAGTAAAATGTCCGAAGGTGGAAAAAGCTTTTCCCCGTGAAAGTAAGTCTTCCAGCTTACAAAGACGAATTCGAAGAGCAGAAGTGTTCCAGGAAAGGTGGTGTGCTCGCGGCGCTCAGCTTTCGCTAAGAGCGCGACAGCATGCCGACAGCATGTACAAACTTGAGTTCTGTGCGTCATGGTCCAGTTCGAAAAATTGCAAAGTTTGGTAGTTTCGTTGTCGTTTTGAAGAACATATTGAGCCCTACTATGCCACCTGTGAGCAATTATTCCTCAGAGTGTGCAATTTCTTGTTAGCCATGAGCCATTCAAGTTAACTGGTGAAATCTTTAAAACAACTTGCAAATGCATTTCGGAATAATCAAACTATCAACGATCGAAAAATGACCTTTCGTATTATTGTAGGATGCTCATGTCTCGAGTTGATCCACTTTTCAAAATGATCATGTACAACGTCTAGGCAGAAAATTGGCACAGTTGGCTCCCTCTTGAATCAGTCATGAACATGAGCAATAGCAACAAGGATTGTTGCAACATTCATAAGTCGATAATGTCTTTTTTCTATGTTTTACACTACTGTAGATAATATAATTTTGGGAGCATCCCTGTCGCCGCCTGTGACCCTGATTTACCATAACTGTTTGGGGAGAATCTGTAGGTATTACCTTCAAAGAGTGCTCTATAAGTGGGGAGGAAGTAAATAAAGTGAATCATTGATTGTCTTACTTGTTCAACAAATTTGGGTTGGTATAAGATTCCATCATTCAAACCAGCTAATACCAAAAACGCATATCAACGTATAGTAAATACGTATAGTAAATGTTCATCTCCACATTAGTCAGCCATGCCAACAATTGCTTTGTTATCAAGTTCATATGATGAAATAGTTGGTTCACTCGTTCTTATACCCAATATCGTTTTTTTGCTCTGAGAGCGATTATTTTACCCTTGCAATCTTATTGTCCGCTAAATAAGCAGCGATGGTCGCAGTTAGAGTTGTGGAGGTGCACAAGCTTCAGTCTCTATAATCTTGTAATCATGCGTTGCTTCCGATTATTCATGTACAATTACTTATGGTACATCACTTCAAGATCGATCTAGTCATTTTCCTATCATGCACTTTGATAGTCTTCGGTAGATAGAGTCCATTTTTAGTTTTCTATGGTACGAAGACCACTTTCACATAAAGCTAAAGTGTCATTACGCCCCCAACTGCCCGAACACTCTGCCTTCAATTCAAAACCTCTCTGTTCTTACTAATAAGGAAGTCTTACCGGGGCCTTTGAATGGGAAGTGGACGAAGTAAAAACTGAATTACCGCCGCAGCTACTATTCGAAAACAAGGCATGATGACTAGGTCAGTGATCAACCTTTCCGAGATATTCATAAAGCTTCGATATAATAATTTGCCTTGTTCTAAGGCAAAAGGTCAAATCTTCCATTCTCAACGAGTTTTGCTGCGTCTCCTGGTAGAGAAAAGTTAGCTCTATGGGTTGGTGTTCAAACCTTAAGCCCTGGCCGTAAGTGCAGCGATTTCATCGTCGCGATTCCGTCGCTGGAGAATTTCATGATCGGAGCGACAAAATCGTGACTACCAAATCGCTGGTCGCGGGTTCTGGACATACTTATCTGTTCAGCCATAAGGTGAAGATACAAGCCTAGCACTCGTTCTAAGTTTTCTTTCGGCATCCGAAAGCAGTATCTAGATTGATTACCTTACATTTGCATACTCCTTTGACTTTTTTTGACACCGATATAGGTTCAACATCAGCAATTCATATAAGGATCTCGACGATTTGTCTATCGTTTCACTTTTCCTATTAGATATAAGATGCAAAGCCAATTTCCTCAAGTTGTAGCTGCGGTTTTATAACTTGCTAATTTTTCGCGATATTCAGATATTTAGAAAATATTTAGAAACTAAAACAATTCAAAAGAAGAAAAAAACTATTTCAAAAACTTTCAGGAAAGAAATCTAATTCCAGAGATATCGCCTCGTCGCTGGTTTCAAACTTGCGACGCGATATCGCGAGATTTCGGCCAAATCGTGGCGATATCGCTGGGATAGGTATGGCCCAGGAGAACACGTTCAGCGATCTGTCGCTCCGGTCAGCTAGCACGACGGATATGCATAATTTGCCGGCATGAAATAGGGGGCATGGCAGTTGTCCGATTGCACAAATTGCATCGCGGTGGTTTTTTCTAACGGTATGGCCAGGGCTTTAAACACAATGTGCTCCAAAAAATTGCAGCCAATAAAAAAAACTGGGAAAAAAATTTTCAGAGAACTTGGCTGGTTTTCCAAAAAGAACTTCTAAACTTAAGTTAGTCAGAAAGGAAAAGAGACAAGATAAGATGTATAGCGCCAATACTAGACTTACAACGTTGATGCAAATGTTGGCATCAATTGCGCATGAGCTTTACGGAAAAGGCTATGAGCTAAATTGCCACAAAACATACTATTAGCTAACTTTTTCATCTCTTGCTTTGCCTGCTATAGTGTTTTCTCATACCCGTTGATTCAGGTTGATTTGTGGAGAACGCCCAACCAAATGTCGGAAAAAGATGTTGACAGAGTCAAGCAATGCAATCTAGCTCATTTATATAGTACAGAAGTGGAAAATTTGAATATGGAGGTGCAGGATATTTTTTCAGGTAGTTTGGTCAGTTGGTATGCTACTTTGGCTTTATGTACAGGATTTTAGAATCGATTCTCTCACTTGCAGGAATTCTGCTGCGAATGCGCATCTGCTGCTGAATTTTTCTTTTCTCGTCCCCATGTTACTAGCATTGAATATTCGTTGGTCCAAGTTCATTATTACGGGTTTGTCTAACTTCATAGCTTAATTACTAAACATGCTTAGGACATCCTTTCTTTCAGACTATATGGAATGCCTACCACTGATTTTGAATTTTTCACGCAGTTTGTGAGTCGCATGCAACTCGAAATAGATGAGGTAAGAAGACTGAGTTAGTGCTTGAAAAAGAGCTCCTTCATTGACTTTTTGGAATACTTTGACAACTCAATGACAAGTCAAATAAATGGAATGCTACGCGCTTTGTGTAGCCATCACCATTGCAAGATTGCTTGAAGCAGTCTTTGTAGGATTCTGATAGATTTTTCAAATAATCGGAATTTTAACACTAATTTTCAGCACTATCCGAAGAGTTACGGCAGATTACGATATGCTTGCTATGGAGAAAAAAATAGTCGACTTTTGTGTCTGATTGTGAGACCACATAAGATGTTTGCGTGAGATGTATATGCATACAATTAATATTAACGAATAAAAGGCAGAGTAAATGTTGATAAAAAATAATAAAGGGCAGAGCAGATGTTGATAAATCAATTTGTGCATATTCTCACTCGTATTTGAAGGTTTCTTCTAAACGACAACTTCGCCTTGGTTTTTTTCAACTTTTTATGCAAGTGGCTAGACAAATACAGGGATCAGTCGGCTGTGAACTCTTACGTTATCGTATCGATATTCTAACAAAGGCGCTTGCATGCAGTTTTCATTGTTCTGAAATAATATCCGCAGTAGTTCATCCTACTAAGATAGAAACAAAATTCTTTTTTGAGCAAGTTTAACGATTTTCGAGCTGTTTCAGTCCGATCTGTTAACATTTGCTGATAACGTAAACTTATTTTAGAGTGTGTGCCTATTGTATGTGCTACTGTACCTCTGCTTTCCAATTTTTTTTTGATTATTCTTCTGATGTTGTAAAACGTCATACAATAAAATACAATGTTTGGTGGCAGTTTATTATTAGATGGTAGTTGAATTATTGGCAAATCAAAACAACTTTTCTCATATTGAGCAATCATAACAAGCGAAGAAAACGTTATGTACATCAAGTTTGCGAGAATAAGGCATCAAATCATCGTTCGGAAAGACTGGAAGAGACAATAGGATGGGTAGAGTACTAGATTTAGTACGTGGGCCCGCCATAGGAGGAGTACGCGCCGGGTACACCAACCTATATCATTGACTGAATCATGCTGTATCTCTTCAAAAGTGGTAATTAATTGATACAGACCTGTGAGCCCGCATAGCCGCTGTACTCCATGGCTTGCCGTTGTTCCTTACGCTGCTTATTTTTTGATCTCTGGTAACAGACGATCATCAGAATTGTACCAACGACAAATACTAACAGTACGAATGCTAAGAGCACGTAAACACCCGCCATCCTAAAGCTTCAAAATTTTCACTTCTGAGGTGGGGCGTTCACTTAGAAAAAAGGTTGTGCTCACCAATGTTGATCTTTGGGACAACATCCATGTTCGCAACAGCCTTGATCGCGTTCGCATCTGCAATGGAAGTAATAAATTTTCTCCCGTTTACATGCACCGCGACTGGTATACCAATTAACATACACTAGCGTGACTGTATTATTGTTGACTCGTTTCGCTTGATAGACGCATCGAATGAAACTGGAAAATCCACCTGAAAGGTTGTTATCAATAAAAGCACTTTCTTTGCAACAAAAACGTGACTCTTTCAAGGTATGACGCGTGCTGCAGACTTGAGAATGTGAAGAAAAGCTAGCAATGAATAGACTGAGGTAAGAATTTGGAGCAGCGATGGATTTCATTTGGCTATAGAAATTTTGAAGGTCGATCAACATGGTCAAATTATCATTGACCCGTCCATGCTCGCCAATGATTCTTGCTTAGATCAAATAAAAATATGTAACAAATCTTACCTTCTAATTCCTGTCGCAAAAATGTGCCGATGGTGCCATGCTGATATACCTAAGAGGAGATATTCTGTTGACTGAAGCAGAAATTCAGACGATCTGTGTTATGAAATAAAAAACTGGTCGTCGCAATATGTATCCTTCTAACTTGCAAAATGATCCCCTGCAGTATATCTGAGGTCTCATGCGACGGATGTGTATTGGCAAAAAGTTTAGGGTGATCACAATTATTAGGTTGCCCGTTTATACTAAGGGCCGGGGGCGGAGTTTGCCATTTTTGGACAATTTCTGTTTCTCGCTTTCTATGCTCGGAAAAAATCTAGCAAAGGCATATTTGAGTATTACTATGTGTCCACTGAATGACTACCAAGTTGGAGGTCCGTAGAGCTTTTCTTTGCAGAAATCCACTTTTTAGGTGACAAAATTTTTTTTTCGATTTTGACTCCAAAGTTCACATGGAAGGCTATTTAGGCGAACCGTTGGCTGTCATCTTGTGGAGCTTGATCTGCTCTATCGAATGATACCCCAAATGGGCTATGAAAATAAAAACAGCTCTAATTATTCAAAAAAGGAGTTTACTTTTGGGACAACCTAAAAGATAACTCTAATAACTTTCATGAATGTAACTTCACCATTATTCAAGTGAGGTTTTGCAAGATGAAGTCTTCTGAGTGCAGAAATGAGATCAGCAGCTTAATTAGACAGCACTTCTTCACCTTTGCTCTCAATCTTTGGTTCTTACACGTCGGTAACCCGTAATAACAGCCAGATTCGATTTTCATAACCCCTGAATGAGCGACAAGTAAAATGCTCATTTAACAAGAGAAACATGTTTAGTCAAAGTGACTTTTTTAGATGCGACGTATACCACATTGAAGAGAAATGCTGATTCGAAATCTGCCTTCCTTATCTGCAGAACATTCATAATAAACGAGGAGTTACGTTTAATAAAGCAAAAACTTGGATGTGCAATTGGAAAAAGCCGTAATAGTTTTTCTATAACGGAGCGGTGACAATCAGAGCACTTAATTCAAAAAAATACTTTGAAAAATATCACACCTGGTTGCATTGTTTGAGGGCCAGTAAGATTTTAGCAACACATTTTATCAAAATGCGCATTCAATTTTCGCTCCAAAAACCATAAATCCTCGTCCATAAACTTTTTGTAGATAAGGGTGGTAGATTTGGAATCAGCATTTATGCATTTCGATATGGTATACATTCCATTTCAAAGGATCGTTTATACAAGAAGCTTCCCTTGTAAGAAAGAAAAACAGCAAGGGTTCAAAGGACGCAAACAACAAGAAAATACATAAAGGACAAGCTTCCTCGTCCCCTGCTATCAGTGGCCCAGCAAGTTATATCCAGAGTCGAGCAAGAGGTATGGCACACAAACGCCGGATACGACCCCCCCCCCCAAAGCTTCACCTAGCATAATTAGTAACATATTTACTTAATTGTGATTATCAAATCAGAACATCCCTGTGGGCCAAGATTTAGCGAATTCCGGGGTTTCCCAATATTGGGCCACCCAAGTGAAGTGGCCATTTTCAAACATAATTAACTATATTTCAAAAGCGAATTAGCTATCCCTTCTTCTACCCAGTACGACACAACCTCTGAAAAGCTGAGGCGGCCGCACCTTATCTTTAAACCAATCAAATCTCTGCGTTTTTATTAATATATGGTTGCTATCGCTCCACCTTTTTTACACAATAGAAAAATGGTTCGACGTTTTTTCTAAGGAAAGGTATAGTCGTCTTCCTTTACCTGTGCAACTGGAAAATGGTGCGAAAATATTGGGTTAAGGCAACATGCCCAGTCTGTGCTACAATGTAAATCGCCAAAGAAGGCGACAAGGATAGATATAATTGATAGACTAAACCTAATGACTTACATAAAAAGGATTTGAGCCTGACTGGTCCTCTCTAATCCGACAAGGAAAGGAAGGTTGGTCGAAGTGGTCTTTTGGAATGTGATGTATACTGCTCTGTAGAACTTAAAACGCTGATTCCAAATCTACCTTTGCTATCTGCTGCGGGCTTCTGGGCGAGGAGTTATGAGTTTTTGTGAGTAAAAATCTGAATGCAAGAGTAGGCTAAAATCAGTCGTAGCATTTTTTATAGGGCTTAATTGGTAGTCGGATCACTCGCTGCAACAAATATTCTTGATTTAAATATATCAATACGCTGCTGCCTCATTTGAACATTGGGAAAAGGCTACGAATGATTTACCCTATTTTTGCATTCAGATTTTTACTCACAAAAACCTTCATAACTCCTCGCCCAGAAGACCGCAGCAGATAGCAAAGTTATATTTGGACTCAGCGTTCCAAACTCTGCAAAGCATTGTACACCTCATTTCAAAAGGCCACTTCGACCAACTTTCCTTTCCTTGTGAGATATTGAAAGCGGAAAATGGAACAAATGATTATAGATTTTGGCTTGCTCGTAGTTCCATAGTTTGGATGTTCTTCGAAGTGGGATTCGATGTGGGCAAAGAAGTAGTACTTCTTTGTATTAAGTGCAGAAAGAACTAGTTAACTCGCCTATGAAACGAAAGTACCATGTTTGAAAATGACTATTCACTGGGTGGCCCAATATTTGGAAATCTCAGACGCTGAAACTTGACCCACAGGGGTTATTTGACATTCTAGTTACAAAAATGATGCTTCTATGCTTATAGTGCTCTTTTATTACTTTTACTGTACGTATACGATGGTAGACCAAAACATCAATGGGGTAGCACTTTACACACTGCCTATCTGATATTAACGAATATCATGGTATCGCTAACATCAGCTCACCTCAATAACGGCCCCCTCCCCCTTCCGACCTCTCAGTACGACCCCCCAGGTGTGGCATGCCACACCCCATGTTTGACCGTAGTCATATCCTTCTTATAGCTTGCGAGAATTCGCCACAGATCTAGCCTTTAAAGTGGAGCGACATATTCTGGGCAGAGGAAGGATGGAGATCATCTCATCTCAACTGTCCGGAGATACATTTTGACCGATTTTCAATAGTTTGACATAGAAATATGAATGATATACGTAGTAGCAGGGGACACGCATAGACAAAGCTTGTGCAAAGAGAAACGTGCTCATCAAAGTACATGAATATATGAACACATACAACAAGCCTGGCATAAACAGGGGAGTCAAAAACCAAGATAATCTTTCCGGCAAGTATTCTTGAGAAAATGTAAAAATAGTCTAATTGATGTAGCCTTGTTTATTGCACACTAGGGTCAGAGTTTTTAAACTCTTTCCTTCAAAGCAGATGGTGATGCTTAAAGAACTGCTGCTATGTACAAGCACAGGCTATAAGCTGCTCCATAATGACGATTTTTATCAAAATTGGTTAAGTATACATATTTAATTTAGATTTACCTCGTCCGGACCAGCTCCGGCTACTGATCCGGCAGATTGCATTTGCTGTACAGATGACATGTCCGCCACGGGTGCGTTTTGTCTGGAAAAAATTGTCCTAGAATTTGCCTTCGATTGAAACAACATAAAACACAAAAGCAATCAACTAACACAATCTTATGGGGACAAAGGTGATACTATTGCTTCAGTTCGCCGTATGTTTTACGTGAGACCAAATGATTAACGAAGAAAAAAGCTTGGATTCCAAAAACAAAATCCATGCAAATATTTTGTCACATTACAATTTTTGGCAAAGCTTCAAGTTAGAGAAATAGGAGACTGACATCTCTTTGATGGTTATCCCTCAAACCTATTGGTTGGAAGGAGTTGAGAAGGGGTGGTGCTAGTACGGCAAACTGATTATTGAGATAATTTTCTTTTTTGGAATAATCCCAGCAAAAGCACTTGGAATGGCAATATCTGCTAAAACCTTCAAAGACATCTATTATCAAACGCATCCTAATTTCAGTGAAGTAAATTTTGAACAAGGCAACGGGAGGAAGCTCAATTCATGAATAAGGAATTTATATCTCAAGTAGTACTAGTCACCTCCTTCCAAGAAAAGACAGAAACTCTTAGATTTAAGAAGAATTCAGAACAATATCTTGAGGAAGCTTTCACCCACGCAATGTACACATTACTCACCTTCTGACATGGAGCTACATAATGCACGAATAGCTGACATCCCTTACAGAATGGTGAAATTGACGTTATAGTCAATATTGTCAAATGCACTCGACCCACACTTTCATTGAGTCACAGTCATCCCTTCGGTGTCTTACCGCGCAACTAGTCCTACCGGTTTCACTCGTATGCCATGTTATTCATCCAGCCATCTATTATTGTCTAAATATTTCTAATGTCCCTAGACACTAGAATGATTTAATTTTACTTTCACAATATTGAGTTCCCTACCTTACAGAACCCCCAGACGGAAATGGGAAAATGATTCGCCAACTTTTTGCAAGCAAAGCATATCCTTGAATTTCCTCTAGATTTTCTTCTTACAGCGACAAACATCTGGCCTGTATACACATACATCGCCGCTGGAGAAGGGAGGGGATCTGACAGTGAGAGAGACGCGCCATATTTCGCTGATATAGATATTTGTATTCTTGTTTTCAATTATGTTATAAAGGCTCGTATATCCCGATCAAGCATAATTGATGGCAGAACATTGGCATACAAGTTGATTTCACTACTTGTGTGATCTCGGAAATCGTCAGGAGTTCTCAAATTGTCTATTTTTCCAGGAAGTAGATGGAAAACGTTGTACTGACTACTATGACACTGCTAGGGATTTTTCACAAATGAATTGTGCAGGTTGTGAGTTGTTCGATAAACCGCGGCTCGAGTGGCGGTTTATCAAGGATTTATCAAGAGATTTCACTAGCTTTGTCGCGGCTCCGCGATGCGAGCGCTCCTAGAAGTAGGAGGCCGGGAGCACTGGATGCTGCCGCGCTATCCGGCGACGATTACGGCACTTTCCCACGCTTGCCGCAATCGCCGCTGGACCTCTCCTCGCCTTGGCGCGTTGCTAGCCAAAAGGCTATATATAGCGGCGGCACCTCATTGCAGCGTATGTTCTCTTTTGTTTTCGATCAATAATCTTATCATAGTTTTCCATTGTGCTCGGCTGGCAATTAGCTCCCGCCTTTGATGTTCTTTTGCGTTAGCGGTCGAGCGGATAGAACGTTATATGGATTCAATTGTGATTTGGGATTGTTTTCGGACACGCCACTTTTGGAGTTAATTGAAATTTGGGACATTTAGACCTTGTGAATTCTAAAAGCGGAGAGGGTCGCGCCTGGTATCCGGCGACGCGCGGCGAATCTGTTTAGGTGAAGCCTCGGGAGCATCATCATTGTTGGAGTTAGTATAGTAGACGCGTTTCATCGGTAGCATGAGACGGGGCAGCTCGTCCCGTGTTGAGCTCTGTCATCGTTAAGTAGTTTAGATAGTTTTTTAGTAATTCTCTTTGTTGTCTAGCTGTAGGTTTTTGTAGTTTTTTTACTGTTTCCTTGATGTAAAGGATAAAAATTTAGTGCTTACATTCTTGCCTAGACGCGCGCTAGGGCAAATTAGTAGGGTAGGTTGCGTTGTACGTTTAAACGGGCGAGCCTTGGTTATTCGGATCAAATCTAGGTGCTTAGAGCCCACCGAACCGCCACAAGCTTCTTCTATAAAGTTCGGCAGTGCAATAATGTATTCACGGTACTATGACACTGCATTCTCATCGAGTTTATAAGAAGATAAATGACGTTGAAAATGTGAAGTGATCCCTGGGAACCCCTAGGGGATCACAGGAAACTGTGAAAACTCAATTTGTACGGCAATGTTCTGTTATCCATTATACTCAGATATTAGGATAAGGAAACCTTCATAAGGTAGATAGAAAAAAAGGACTGCATACCAAAACATTCCCGTGGAGGAGAAAGCGGCAAGAAAGTTTCATGCTCTGAGGCTTTAGACATCCGGATTTCTCGCTGTCTATACGTGTGTGCGTGTCTCTACTCCTTTTACTGTAAACATGTTATACGGGGGCAAAAAGTTGTACTGTATTTTCTAGCTTTTTGTAAGATCCCTTGGTGATCCCCGATCAATGTATGGTCAAAGCCTTAGAGATAGGACCATGTGTATAATATTATCAATGCCGCCTTCAAAATTTCCGAGATAAACGCGATGTCGCGTTAAAAGCGCCGCAACTGCATAGCTCCATTGAAAATCACTTGCAAGCGGAGCGGGACATAAATTCTGGATCAGTATACTTCAATCTATTTGAGTCATGTCACGGTGAACGTCCATGCTTTAGGGATTTTAGCTCGTAAGTCGCTGTATGCTGGCAATCAATTATATGCGCTGGAAAATATTGTTAAATACCTTAGAAAGATCTTCCTGCTTATTTCCCATAAAGTGTTAGAAACAAAGAAATTTCTTTATTCTCAACAAAATTTTTTTAGGTGAGCAAAAAGCTCAAAGTTTGAAGTGTCGTGATTTTGCAAATTTGTAATCATAGGTTAATCATTCGGTACTGGCTAATAAAGCACCACTCTATAACATTTTTTGGGAGATACCTATTTGTACGGATTTTCTTGCATATATGAGCTCGAATCAGGGTGCTCATGCTCTAATTGCGATGTGGGACCATATTCAAAAGACCATATCGTAAAGATTGACTTGGTGACGTGCCAAAATTTTTGCTTGTCGGCAAAATAGTCTTCTCTAATCGAGACCTGCATACTTGTGAGTGCTTTCTGAGAAACTAGCCGCGCTTAGGTGACCAGAAAATGAGGATTCACAGATTGCGACTACTGTTTCTTGTGATCTCACCAAGCACCAAAATTCTTACATATTTATTTTGAATCTACACACGACAAGCTTTTCAAAAATACTTGAAGTAGTCCCTCTATCAGCACACAAAAATGAGTTTAATCCTTGACATCAATCTAAGCGTCACAAAACGAAACTTACAGCATGGTTTGCGTTGGAATTTCTTGAAAGAGGAAGAAGTACATAAGAAATGGGAAAAGCAACACGGTAAAGAAATCTCAAAAAATTTTTGTACTGATTGCTGTCGAAACAGGAAAGAATGTTGAAAACAACGACAACGATCAATTTTAACTAGTTTGCTCAAAAATTTTTTTTGTTGAATCCTCCTACTAGATCTAAAGTTTATGCTTCGACTCTGTCATTTATTCAGTGACTAATGATGAGTTATTCTACGAAGTCGATCAATGGCCTAGTTTGTTCATAAGACAGGAAGATCTTCTAAGGTATTCAATGATTTACGCCAGCGATTCTAACCGATTTCCAGCTATACAAGCTAGCCATGGCCAAGCTAGCCCGCTTTCCAGCTTCCAGCTATACTTATGGCCAAAAATCCCAAGAGCGTGGACGTTTACCGTGACGTCACCGGAAAAATGAAGAACTTCAAGTTTCCAGAAATAAAGTTATGGGTCTAAATAGATGAAGGACTTTGATTCCGAATATATGTCCCCTCCGATTGGAAGATTTCTAAGGAAGTTATGCAGTTGCGGCGCTTTCAACGCGACATCTCGTTTATTTCGGAAATTCTAAAGGCGGAACTGATGACTTTTTACTACCCTAATTTCATTGTATGAGGCGCGGGTTTTTTTTTAAATCGACCAGCCCAGACAAGCCAAAGAACTTTACAACCAAAGGACTCTATAACGTGCTGTATATTGCTTGAGAGAATCGTGCGATGTAAAGATTCCTTTCCGGAATACAGTGAAGCGGCTGAGCGGCTCGCTTGAAAATTTAATAAAGGGCGCCTCATAGCGTGAAATTAGGATAATATTTGCCCGCTCCTCACAGGAAATTTGCAAGAGTTACTTAGAATTTTGAGCAGAAATAAAGAAAAAATTAAATTTATGTGAACTGATAATATGCAGGCTTCAAGCCTCCTTCCTCCATCACCCTCTCCCCAAAATATTCATACTCTCTTGATATAACAGAAGGTGCTAGAGCAGCCTTTTCCAGCATCGCTCGATGTTTGCTAGAAAATGTTGAGCTGGCTGTTCTAGCATTGGAATCACTGTGTTTGCAAGTGCGTTCAGTGAATCACGCACTGCTCCCCCGTGCAGGCAGCCCCCCCCCCCAACCCCCGTAAAATTCGCCGAAGACAGATGGTTCAGGAAAGAAGAGTGAACGAGAAAAAAATTATCGAAAAAATCAGAAATGCTTGGCATCTCACGGATAGTACGTTGGATTTGCGCGATTGTTCGACGGTAATGTGTCCCATCGGCTCATCGTCGTCCCTAAAATTGAAGATTCTTTTTGCTTGTTGCATTATGTTACAACAGCATTGCTTGTGCAATTACACAATCGACGTCAGATACGACGCGCGAACGCAACTATGTGCATGTGCTCAGATTCCACTGTACGTACGTATGTGTGTGCGTGTGTGCGTTTCTTCCTATGTAAACATGACTCGAGGATTCTGCGGAACTGAGCCAAGCAAATTCTTCGTCAACGATTTTTCTAATACCCCCATAGTGTTGTGGAAAAACGATAAGATGTACTGGAGAAGCTGATTCGCGTGGCTGGAATTGAATTTATCTTTTTGCACTTTTTCGGCGAAAGCTGGTGCTAATTTACGGCGAGTTTTTCTCGATGATAAAACGATTCCAAAGATAGAATCTTCTAATTCCCGTTCTGGTACCAAAATTTCAAAATTTGCGTTTTATGCGGAGTATTTGCAACAAGGATGAGCGAGAGCTGATGATATGATCAAATGCGAGGAAATCAGTATCGATCAAGAATCAATAAAAAAGTAAAACGTTGGCAAACAATTTTCTATGAGGTGAATCTTTCACTATTCCGAAAAATTTGCATGACTTATCTGTAGCTGAGGAATTTTCGGGAAAGTTGGGCTGGATATCATTGGCTTTCAGACCCTGCTAATTTCAAATAAGTGTAAATTTTCACAAAATTGTACAATAAAAGTCCGAACAAAAATGAGATCAAAAATTGTGTTTACATTATTGAGGCACTGAAATTCAATAACTGAATCGTCTTAAAGCTTTATTTTGAAGTACATTTTCCAATTCAACTAATACCGCAAAAAATCCCTTGAATATGCAAAATGAACAGAATGGAAATTATAAAAATGAGAGAGATGAAATGGAAACTGTGAAGGAAAAAAAGAAGCGTTCCACAGGCTAACATTGATCATTTGTTCTTAAATTTGGTATTCGGGAACTGATCCAAGGCATTTTCACACTTTGGAACCAAAAACAAAAAGAAATTTGACTATTATTTTGGAAATCATGGGGTCATTTAATTGATCCGAAAAATCTGCCGTAACTAGCTCCAGCTTTGTCCTAAAAAGCAATGTAAGTCAGGCTGGCTTACTGCTTAAATCAGCTCTTCCAGCAGAACTTATGGTTTTATAAAAATAGAGCAGAAAATGCTTTCTTTATTGTATTGTTTTACTGAGCTGAGCATCTTTTGAAAAATGAATTCTGAAAGCTAAAAATTGCTATACAAAATGCTCAGAAAAAGTAATAAAACAATTCGCATAGGGGTCCTGGAACTAGTACTTCGCCGTTTTATCGTTGTACTAGGATTGTTTGCAAAAGTGCAGAAACTGTTTGAAAGGCAAGCATGCTCTAACTTTGTGAATATTTTTGCAATAAAAGAGACTCAAAAGTGGAAACACAAGTTTTTCCGTGAAAGATTGCGTTACTCGCACATTTACAAGATCAATCAAAGAGTTCGGGAAGTAGTTTGACGTGAGCCCGCGTGAGTTGTACGCTAACGGTGCCTGGTAAAGGGATGAAGAGTGCTCCGTTGACGCGATTCCGGTTCAACCGGTCCCCCTCGGCACCCCTAGTCTCTCGCCCCGTTTTTCGGTTAGAACACTCGTTCCGTGTGGCACATAATCTGCACAGCACGACGCTTTTCTCTTTCAAGCTTTCTTGAAACATAAGCTTCTGTTTCTGTGGGAGCAGGATGGCAGTTTCGAGAGAGAGGGAAAAGACTTTCCACGGAAGCCGGAAGCTTTCTTGAAACTCTTCCATCAATTTTTAGCACCAGAAAAGTCGGGGCTGCTGCCTGAGTGGCACCTAGGTGGCATCTAGTTGGCAGCTCATTGGCAACAGTTAAACGAAGGTCATACTTTTTTCCTATACTCAGAAATTCAATCAAGACACTTTCCAAAACTTCAAGAGTTCTGAAAGCGACAGCTCCTTGCGTTTCCTTGCCCCCGGCCCCTACCACATTTTTGGGCGCGAAAAACCCGCATACAGGCCGGAAATACTAAAGCACCCGCTATGTATATATAGGATTAGATCAGCTTAAACAGTCAACAAAATCCATCTTGAATGAGTGTACGAGAAACAAATACACACCCACCTGGTAGTTGTTGACTGACAGTTTAGTTGTAAATGTAGTGTAAATGTGTGACTCAATTGAATAACCTGAAAATTTGTAGTGGGAAAAATGTAGGAAAAACGCAGACGTAACAAAAGGAAAAATGCAAACGAAAGAGAAGAGAATGAGATGGGAAAATGTTGCAGACATAAAAACATTCAACATTTGAGTTACAAGCAAAGAATAATGAGGAATAATAAAGTCAATTAAGTGATCTACAAGTGATAAAGAAACTCCGATTAACCTTGACAAATGACAGAGATTAGGAGATAGGAGATGAGAGATAAACGATGATTTTACGGTGAAAACGGATAGTTGGTGCAAAATGTAAGTATCTATAAAACGATAAGCTTCTATACTTGCTGGAAGGGTCCAAAACCCAAAGAAATTAGATTTACCATGCTTCGAGACTACCAATTACTTCTGCTGTAATTTTGACCTGATTTTGAAAATTTATGGAGGATACAGTTGGCGGTATCACAGATGCTTGCAACACCTTATAACATAAGTAGCGCACAAGAACTTTGGATGCCTGAATTACTTGAGCAAAAGTTATAATTTTATTTATCTAACAATAAGTCGTTTCCCAGCGGACCCAATTTATTCGCAATTAAGAAATTCCACATTTGAGCCTTGCTCAGACAATTTCTTGCGGAGCTCAGCGTAAAGTTTTGGACTTTACGGATAAGAAGAACCTACATACAGCTCAAACACAATCTGATACATTACAGTATGGGTTTACTGAGATACAGTTCAACTACCGTAGACCTACCATATATAACCGTACATGATGGGACGACCGTAGCATGATTCAAGAATGATCCACTACTTTGAGGAGTGTTTTGAAGTTGAATACATATAATGGCGATATTGAAAATTGCTTGCAGTTTCATATCTAATCAAAAAAGGTCCAGAAAAAAACCTTCATCACACCCTTTCAAGTCAGAATGACTGAACTAATTTTAATAGTAGGAGCTAATGAGCTGTGATAAAATCAAAGGATGCTCACGCAGCCAGTCATCGAATGAATCTTCGCATCTTACGCAATGATAAGCTATTAGGATTGGAAGCATCCGTGAAAGCAAAAGCTGATTATTCGATTTCCAGTTCAGTATAAACGTCTGGTGGCTTGAAACTAGAACGAGAACAGGATTCAGCTTTATCGATTGGTGTAGTGAGCTAACAATGGCTCTCGACAAGTAGTGAAGAGCATTTTTTAGCGAAAAAGTCGAAAAACTTATTAGATCATGTGTGAAAAGGACGTTGGTGTTTGAATTCTCACGAGGTAATGTTCAAAATAGGAAATTCTGCCAATGCGTATTTTGAAAAGAAAATACGGGGACTTTCCTGGTTATGAATAATGGTAAATGGAATTCGAGCTCAAGAATGATTTGAAAGCTGTACAAGAAGCTTGGACAAAAAATTCACTTAGTTCCCTTCAAGCGGCAAAAGAATTGCAGTAAAATCCTCATCTTGAACATAAAAAGGGTAGAAGTCGAGAAGGTCTTATAATAAACCGAAAACAGGGTGAGAAATTCTAATACTTTGGGAAACAATTCAATAATGCGAATTTAGATAGTGCAATTACACGAAGTGACTGACCAGAGGAGAACGAACGTATGTGGTTATAGCAGCCTATACAGGATTTGTGAGGGACTACGTAGAAAAACTAGAGATATGCGAACCTAATCTTCATCGGATATACATTGTAGTGACAAAGCTCATTTAACTTTTAGTGCATGAACAGTATCGCTTGTATTTTTTGAAAAAAACGACGCATAGTCGCCCGAATCATGTGAAATCACCGTAACGTAGTCATATCTCGCTTTAGAGGGGCGATTTCTTACCCCAAGGGCACGACTCGACCCAGCTCGGCGCGGCGCATCTTCTGATATATAGATGTGCCCATTTGGACACAGTAGGAGGCCAGGTTTCACGAATCGCTTCGGATTTTTGCCTACGGTAGGTTGTCAGTGTGCTTATTCATTGCACTCGCTGGGCAACCTACCGTAAGCAGAAAGTTGTGGCCTTACTGTGTCTAAGCGAGCGATCTATACGTCAGAAGATGCGCCGTGCAAAGCTGAGTCGATTGGTAACCTTAGGTTGAAAATTTGTCCACTCTAAAGCGAGATATGGCCACGCTACGGTGATGCCACATGAATCGGGCGACTGCGCGTCGTTTTCAAAAAATACGAGCGGTGTTTAAGTACTCACTAAGGAGTTCTGATGATACTAGATAAGTTGGAGCAGGTAAAGAATTGAGAACAATCGTACAACAATTTGGTTGAAAAAGAGAGAAAGCAATGAAAAAGGGAGGTTTAACGAAGTCTTGAGCAGCAACTCCATTCCAGGCTTTTTACGGAAGCATCAATATTTTACCCTTTTTGATTATGGAAAACCATGCAAGTTATCTAGCGGAGGATTGTTCATACTAGCTTTATTTCAGAAAATCAGCAGGCAGCTCCAGATTGCTTTTTTCAATCAAAATCGGTAAGCTGATAACGAGATTGTCCAGCAGTTACTAGATTATTCAGCTGGGAGATTAACGAAAGCACACGAATAGAGGATGATTATACAGATTTGGATCAACAAATTTTCTGCAGCTTTAGTGGCTGAACAAACACGGCCCCCACGGCTGAACGGCTTCCAGCAGCAGCCCGTACACGAGCCGCTTTCAGCCCCACAAAACCCCACCTTATCCTTACGAGTGGAGCCGGTAGGAGCATTTGCACTAGTCTGGTGCGGAAAGGAAAAAAAGTGTCTGCAGAGGTTTTTTTCAGAGTGTTTCGCTACTGTGTGTAGTATCAAAAGAAAGTGTTCAAAGGATTGCTTTTTGAATTTCCACACGTCAAAAATGTCCGTAATGTTTATTTATCTAGTTAATTGAATGCTCATATTGTACGACTAATGCGGAACAGAACTGGAGACGTTGCAAAATTATTAGGTTGAACCGATTCTGACGCACCATTTTCAAAAAATCAAACTTCTTCTTGTCACTTTATTTTTATATTACAAATATACTGCTAGAAAGAGTAGCTCATGTATTTTCTAATGACCCCTTGCTTGCTCTTCTCCAGGCTTTGAGTGCAGAGATAAAAATGTGGAAAAGAAATCACTTCAACTTCGTCTGAGGCAATCTCGTTAAAAATTCCAAAACTGCGCCATGAAATCAAACAGCCAGTAAACTTGGTTTCGTGATCCCCTTTTTCTAAGCGTGCAAGATTCGTGCTCATCGAGATTTCCCTTGAAAAGTTATGATTCTCGAGAAAAATTGCCCAAAAATCAATTTCTTAAGAAAATTGACTTTTTGTTTTCTCAAAACTCATAACTTTTCAAAGAACGGATCGATCAGCGCGAATCTTGCCCACTTAGAAAGAGAGGTAAAAAACCTAGGATACTGGCCGTTTTGGATTTTATGGCGCGGTTTTGGAATTTTTAAAGGGCATGCCTCAAAATTCCGAACCCGAAGTGATTTCCTTTTCTTTTATCTTTGCCGCCAGAGGCTATGAGAGAGCAATCAAGGAGTCATTAGAAAGTACATGAGCTACTCTTTCTAGCAATATATTTGTGATAGAAAACTATAGTGACAGGAAGAGGTTAGATTTTTTGAGAATGGTGCGACAGAACTTTCGGTTCAACCTAATATTTATGATGAAAACTGAAACGATTATTTAGCCATGTGGTTCATGCTCATTTTAGAGAAGTTAAAAAAAGCGTGATTTCGCTGGAATTGGAGTGAAATCTATGATGCCCGTCAATCTCTTTGGAAGGCTGTAGGAAAACACAATGTCAGAATAATGTCGTATACTTTAGCGAAAAAACGATAGGTTAACTCTTAATGTTTGAAGATCAAGCCATGCATGTCGAATTTATCTCAAGTCGAAAAATGCAACAGCAAAATAATCACTAGCGAAAAATTGCTCAAAAGTGCGTTTTCTAGCAGAACTCCTAAAGCCATTCACAGCAGTCGATAATTTCGTTATCAATACGAAGAATTTACCGTAAATGCTGGTCATTTCTTGTGCGAGACGATGAGTATTAGGAAAACAAATAGTGGAATATACGGGATCACGATTGGCGGGAGTCTTTTCCTCGATGTACTCACACGGTTGTTTTGATGTTATAGAGGGCGGAGTGACACGCAAAGGTTAAGCACAACAAATGACGAATAACATGAGTACGCCCTACCTCATAGGCGATGATACAACCTCCCCCTTACATCCAAGTTATCAGAATGATTAAGTCAATTACCATAAACGTACTACAGAGTACCCAAAGTGCAGTTCACATCCTTTGTAAGTACACCAGTAGCAGTACGGTAATACCATGTGTAACAAAATTACGTTTGCAAAATTTGACCCAAAATTTTATCGTCTTAGAATGGTCGTCAAAAAAGTTTGGCATTTTTCGAAATCGACTGCAGAAGGGCCGATTTGAGAGGAGGTCTAGTTCGACTATGGCAAGAAGGAAAGAAGCAAACTTCAAATTTAAAGGCTATGCATGACGAAGGCGCAGAAGCAGTATTAGTTGATCGGGCGCGAACGCTGCGCGCGCGTATCTTCACTGTTGTAAATCCTGCACCTCATGCGCTCTGCGGCTAATAAAACTGCATTGTCGCCCAAAGACATTGCGCCTTCGTCATGCAGCAGCCTATACCTGCCTGGAACGGTCTGGATTATTCTGTATCTGAGTCTCTCTGAGTCTCAAAAATCAATCACGAGTTAAAATCGTGTTTGATATAGACTTGGAACGAACCTCTAATGAAATGGTTGAGAAAAACCAGTTTCTGGAACTACTAAATATGTATATTGTTGCAAAAAGGATCATTTTGAATGGTTGTAATGGAATTAATTGATAGCCGTTTGAAAGAGGAGATCATAAGTTACAAAATATTGCATGATACCATATCTTTATATTTTTCATTATTGATACAGCTTTTCAGCTAAAGTAAAAAAAAGAATAGCAAAACTCGTTCTAACAACGAAACGCGAGATAGAGTCTAAATGTACATGTCCACCGAGCAAACGTGGGCAAATCAAAGTGGAAACATGCATGCTTTGATCATGCCAGATGTGTCGAGAAAAATTTCACCAAACCAATTTTTTACGACGCTCACGAAACTATCCAAATTTTACAAGTAGAAGAAGTCATGCACAAGCTGAATACTCATTAGAGAGTGTGCAAAAAAAATTTGATTTCCATTTATTAAGCAAAGGCTGCCAATCAATATATTTTAGGAACGGGATATAATAGAATTACTGGTGAATGTAAATGATAATGTTAATACAGCGGAAAAAACTTTCATTAATTTCACTTTAATTTTTAGCAAAATTTTACCTAATTTTGGCTGGAATTTGGAGTATATTGTAAAGAATAAAACAGTGCAGCCTTCAACTAAATAGCGAAGGTGGCGATAGAATGTTGACTGACTTTGTACGCACTTCATCTTTGCTTAACCTTGGCTCATCCAAAACATTTTGAAGAATCACACCAGTGAAAACATCACATAGTATTTGATTATCCCATAAGTTCCGTCCGTTTTGACTTTGACCCTCAATAACTCAAAGATTTCTTATTTCTGGACAGGTTTCAAAATATCATTCAATAGAGCAAAGCAAGCACTACAAGAAGGCATATGTAGTATACATATGTAGTATACAATTACTTATAGGCAGTGTCCGGGAAAAAGTCGATTTTGAGATTTTGTGCTTACCCGGGCCTACTCATTGTGCTGAATCCGAAAATCCACATTGGAAAGCGCGAAAACAGCGAAAAAGGGCTCTAATGTG